GCACTCAAAAACCACTCAATAGTATGAAATTTGTTGCAGTTACCTGCCACACACGGACCTCGTCCCGGGGGAGACGTGGAGCGTGCTGGTATCGCATGTCGCTGCTTTAGTCCTGGCAAATGAGCACACAGATGAGAATGGGCCAGAGATGATAGCGATGCGAAGGTCTGATCGAAGCTGAATTACTCTGGCAGGAGTAAGTCCTGCACAGCCTCACACAGCCCATTATACCCTCCCGATACCAGGTACTTCCGGCAATGAATAGTTCTTTATTATATTTCCCATATGCTTTGCATGTCTGCCCTTGGCCAGCTGCCCCTCTACTGCCTCTTATTGCCACTTGGCCCTAACGGAATGTAACAAAATATTCAGCCTTTGTATTACATAAATTTCATTCAAGTGCTTCCATTCATTCCCGTTCGATATACATATTTCACTGGGGAGATCGGCCCAGGATATATATATCGTTTTGGGAGGGCGTAGCGGAAGGGGAGCAGCTGCCGCGTGCCTATCAGGTTGACATTCAATTAAACTAAACCTGGCCGAGGTCCCAGGAGGCTTTCAGGCCTAGTTTCCGCCACCACAGTGCCCTAACCTTGCCATTACTTATCCTTGGCCACAAATACGTAAATACATATATATACATCCTTGTAGACATATTGCATTCTTGTTTAATTACTTTCATATTTTGTGGGTCCGGAAGGTAAGTGCATTTGAGGAATTTTATTGGTTAACGCTTGGCAGGACGGCTTCATTCGATTACCGAGCTAGAGATTCAAAAGTTGGCCAAACAATGCAATGTCGGCCATCGGATCGAAGGCAAGTGGCAGCCATAATTCGCAATAAATTAAATACTATGTGTGCTGCATTGTTTCCAATACAATGAATACATTTATCAAAAACATTTGCTGGTTAAAGAGACCACTGCCAATTGCCTTTTCGTTTATTTTTCCGGTAAACGCTTCCCAACTAAATTTCATTTTCATTTCCCTGGAATCTCTGGGAAATATATTCGGGCCGTTTACCAAATAATTTAGCCTGCCGGCCCGCAATTTCATTCCCAATTAATGTTAGTTGTGCAGCCTTTAAGCCTGATTATATTTGATAATGTTCCCAGCCCGGCCCCCTCTGCATCAGCCATAATTTCCATTATAACTTATTGTCTTTCTAATTGAATGAACCGTGTGGTGGATGGGTGGCTGGAGTGCCTGGTGGGTGGTGGCCTTGCTGGTGGCAAAAATCTATTCAGTATAGTATTTGCATACAATATGCCAGTTATTACACATGGCTATGGTATATATTTTGTTTGTTTGGATGGCTTGAATGGCTAAAATATGGCCAGTTGCTCTGTCAGGGTCGATTTTTGCATAAATTAGAGACTAGAATGGAGGTTGGCCCGGGGGGGTCGGAGGTGAAATGCTCGCCAAATTAGGTTACGTCGTCAATGCAATGGAAACAAAATACACATACGTGTCTCTAATTAAAAGTGGCGTGGGGGGGTGTGCGGAAGGATCTGACCCAAATATCGCACAGGATGCGACACATGCTGAAGTGCAATTCCATTAAATTCCCAAAAAGGCAAAACAATGCCGGGGCACTGAGCACAGATAACAAATTACTTGCCATGAATAATAATAAAGTGCACCGCACTCCCCCTCCCAGAGCCCCCTTTTTGGCGCCCAATCTTCTTATGTTGCAAGTTGCAAGTGTAATGAATATCAGATGCTCGAATAATGACAGTGATGCCGACAATACTGACAATTCCGACAAGCCGATGAACATAAAAGATGCTTCTTTGCGATAACATGCAGAAGGGTCCTCCTCCAAAGATATTTAAATTGAAACAGTATCCTGCTGGATCTATCATTTCAATTTATTAATTTAAGGCACTGCCATTGAATGTCTATCCCAGAACATTTCCTTGGCAAATTACTGGTGCCGAGCTGGGAAACAATGAGCAAAATTTCATTACCGGACGATGCAAGGACTCTTAGCTATGATGGCGCGGAGAAAGGGTAATAAAGCGATGAACATCCCCCTGGTAGAACTGCAATCTTGACGAGAATTGAAATTGAAAAGAAAATGAATGAAATGTGCCACAAGACGATGATGGGGGGGATGGCTGTGCTTGGCTCAGCCCCTCAGCGCGAAAAAGTCCTTTCACAGTTGTCGTCCTTCCCATTGCTATGCTCGCCGGCTGTCATGCCGCCCCGTCGCCAAAATCCCCTCCATTGTCCTCCGGTTATTTGCATTAAAAATATTATTCATTGCAATCACAAGGATTTGCGCAAAAATGCCTGCAATGAGCCGTTGTAGCGACACAAAATGCAATTGCCGGGAAGAAAGGACTCTGTCAGACACTGGGGGACTGCGACTGGGAGTGGGAGTGGGAGACAATGGAAGGACTGAGAAGGATAATAAGTTATCTGTGACACAGTTTAACTGCCAGCACTTAAGACACTCGAAGAGCTTTTGAATTCATAAAGATTAATGATGTAAAATCAAGGAATAATTCTTAAAAAAAAAAGGATAAGCTAGACGAGTAGCTGGATATCCAAAACAGATCAACCGGGAAACAAATGGTCAGTAAACCATATCCGCTCATCCTGCAATAATTGAGCTGATTTTAGTGGCCCATAATTAACTGGCCTGATAGCTGATTTCCACAACTGCCTCGGCTTTTTGCAACTAATTGCCGTGAATTTCAACAGATATGCGACTAATGTGCAGTTGCCGCCAAAGCAGCAATAAATGGAGAACACACAGCGGCAGCAGCACCAACATCTGCACTTTGATGTTGCCTCATGTTGCACAAGAACCGGGGGCAGGAGGCAGAGGGATCCGGCACCATGTAGCAGGCAAAACTTGCAGCCCAGAGCTGATAAATTGGAAGTGCATTTGACGCTGCTGGCAGAGAAGATGTTGCTGCTGTTCCTATGTCGGTGTTGCTGTCGGCGATGCACAGAGAGAAATGGATCCTTTCTCCTTAAAGCTTGTTAATATTGGTATTCTTCCTTCTTATATTTGGTCTGTCTTGGAACATATTTTAAATAAAAATGATTTAAAAGACTCCTAACCTCCATTCTATCACCCATTTGTCTCGCTGTTGTTATTAGTGCCGCTCCTAATATGGGCGATGATGTTGCATTGCAGCATTTGTGTTTGGCGTCGCCGCCGCTGTTGCAGTGGCTTTGGGTGTTGCCTTACCTTGTCGCCTGTGCCCGTCTGCCCCGTCTCTCTCGGTTAATGAAACTGCCAAACGAGGCATCGCTGCCTCGGCGTCCACATCCGCTGTCTCCCAAGCAGCATCTGCCCCATGCCCCATCCACCGACACCCAGAACAGGGCCTTGGCCGAGTGTTGCTGCTACGCTTTCGGCCTGTGACAGCGGCAACATCATCATCATCTTCAGCAGCAGGCTGCAGTTGCAAGTTGCCAGTTGCAACACCCATCCGCCGCACTCCCCCTCCCCACAACAGTCACGCTGGCTTGTCAAACACTCTGGCAGACTCTTACGACTCCTCCAGCTACAGCTACACCTCCAGCTTCAGCCCAGCCCAGGCCCTGGCATGGCAAAATCCATTTGCATATTTGCATCCTTATGCCTGACAGTTAACGTGCCCCCTTCCGCGGACGCTCCTGCCCCTGCCCCAGCCGAGCGGCGCGCTTTTAACGACAAAGTGTGAAATTTCATTGAATTTGAGCTCGTTGACAAAAGTGGAATGGCAACAACAACGGGCAACGTGCAGCACAGCAGGTGTTGTAGCTGCCGCACTTGTTGTTTTGCAAATTAATTTAAATTATAGTTTTCTTTCTTGTTGTTGCAGCAAGCTTTTTATGCCACATTAGCCGATAAAATAGCAAAGGGAACTGGCTAATTTCGTGCAACATGATAGTCGCAATTATTTCGGACGGTTGCTGCTGCAACATGACTATATGAGCTTTATTATTATTGATGTTTGGAGCGCATTGCGTTGCACCTTTAATCGGTGGCCCTCAAGAAAGTGCATAGTTTTGACCCATTAACCTAAGCAGCACCACCATTTGCCCCACAATGACGATTCTCCCAGCTCTTCGGGCCACAAGGCTCTGGCTTTAAGTAATTTTCTAATGACACCACAGAGGAAAAATGACTCTCGGGGACTTTGGGGGTTACCCGAGTTGCTGCCCCTGGTCTCGCTTCTGCTCCTGCTCCCGTTCCAGCTACTGCTCCTTTTCCTGGCAACTCCTGCTGGCGACGTTCATTAGATTAAAAGCAATTTACAGTAAAACTTTTTGCCACAAAACGCCTTCTGCCCTGATGTGTCTCCGCCCCAGTCCTGCTGCTCCTTCTGTGCCGCACACGTGCTGCAGCTCACATGTGCCCCCGAAACGCCGTGCAAATGTTGCCACCACCCCAAGATTTCTGCACAGAAAAAAAGATAGTCATTGATTAGGTTTCTAAAATTTTAGAAACACCTAATAAAATCTATAGAACAATACGTATAAATATTAAATATTGTTATCCTCAAAAACTGACTAAAATTTTTGTCCTATATTCCTCAAAGTTGATCATTTTTTCCTCTGTTGTCATTTGGTGATGCTCGCTTTTTGTTCTGGAATTCAACAAATTTGCGGATTTGGTTTGTAATTTATTAAATTTATCGCATTCTCCGAACTGGAGGAGCCTTCGAAGGAACTGGAGGATGTGGAGAACGGGATGACCTGCTCGGCTGCTAATGTCTGCGGTTGGGAATGGAGGGACCCCGGACAGAGACAGAGGACAGGGCCTCCAGCCAGTGGCATCTGCAACATTTGTTGATGACAACCCAAAGACGCAGAATGCAACATTTCATGGGGCATTGGTGTGTGCTCCGTGTGGCAACAGCACACGCTCCTACTCGGGGAAGTCACTCGGAGCTTAGAAGTTATTATTTTGATTTATATAAAAAGTTGGTTTGGCGAGCGAAAGTTGCCCGTATATTTCCCGAGGTGGCGGGCAGAAATTAGCAGATAAGAGTGTTATTTTTGCCATACATGTGCATATGTATTTTTAATACAAGTTAGGAAAAGTTTCGAGTGATTTTATGCTTTTGATGGGAGAACTGAAAATTTTAGGGATTAGGGTTCCCACAAAGTTGGACCAACAATGTTTATGCCGAATTCACACTTAATTTTGAATATTACACCTTATAAATTTATGTCCGTCAACGTTAATCTTAATACCCTGTAATCCTCTCACACAGAGGCCAGCTTGGTCTGGACATTATCCTCGGGCAGCTTCCGGGTGGTCCAGCCACTGCCGCAGGGAATCTCCTGATCGCCGGCTTCCCCATTCTGGTCGTCCTTTTTCTTGCCGGAAGGCGTTGCCGTACAGTAAACGTCGTGGAGATCCGAACAGTCCGTGTTGCAGATGTTTCGCCACCCCTCGGCGTTGATGTGGTACAGCCGGACGATGCCACCGGAGTAAGCGTCCTTGCTGGTGGCGTGGTAGATGGCCCGCTTTGCCAGGTCGTAGGCCTCCTGGTCGGTCAGGTCGAAGCGGTAGCCGGTGTCCAACACACCCAGGGCGTAGGGCGAGCCGCTGCCCACGGAGAAGACGAGGCCGCTTGACTTCATTCCCTCGGAGTCCACATAGATGAGCTTCGCGCCCTCATCGTCGTATCCAGCCAGCATCATGCCCATCACCAGGCCCATGCCCTTGTACTCGTTGGAGATGTTGCAGATTATCCTGGCCGCCGTGTCCACGGACATGCGTTTTCGGTACCGCAACTGGTGCAGCCGGCACTCCTTCGCCAGCACCCTGTCCCAATAGACGCAATCCGCAGCTCCACCTGCCAGGGTGCCGAGCATGTAGTCGTTCAGCTCCACGATCTTCTTCATGGTCTGGGAGCCGATGTACTGGCCGGAGGTGGCTCTCGAGTCGGCACAGAGGATCACCCCGCCCTGGTACTTAAAACCCAGTGTGGTGGTTCCATGGGCAAAGTCCATTTTTATTCCACAGTGCTCCAAGATCTTTGGCAGGTTCTCGGCGGGCTATGTGGAATTGAAAATATTTATATATTTTTGTACATTTTCCAACTTACGTTTGCAAAAGGGGGCGCCATCAGGCAATAGGGATTCTCGAAGTTGCTGGTTGCCACTTCAAGCTGCTCCTGCTGCCACATGGACTGTCGCTCGTCGAATCGTAGCATAAACGGCACTTTATCCATGCCACAAACCTGCTCCAGGGCCATAACCGGGATTCAAAATGAGCTATTTACAAATTAATTTGGAGTGTATAGTCCTTGGTTGTTCTGAATGTGTGGTGGCAGGATATAAGTGTTGACGGGAATTTCTATGAACGTCTTTTTTTTTTTAGGGGACTCGAAATTTTGTTTATACATCGTAGGGCTCTTTAGAGCAATTTCAGTACGAAGCCCCCTAGAAGATTTTCTCACAAAGACACCGTTCTGATGCTGCTCTAAAGGGCCTTACATCAGAAATTACAAATACTTTATAGTCTAATAGAGTATCAGCCTCGCAGCAGGCAGAGCAGCACCAGGACCACTGACAAAATCAGGATGATCATATTAGAGATGATCATAGAATTGCCTCCCCCACGAAGATCTTTGGGTTTATGCCCTATGAGACCCTGAGATCGTCCTTCAAGCAGTGCGAGTCGCGCGGCGATATTGGCGTAGTAAATAATCGCCGACGTACTATACCCAGTGCCTCCGCAGCTCCTAGCCATTTCGTCGACCATGTCAAAGTGGTAGCGGAGGCACACCATGCGACTCTTTCCGGTTTTCAGAATCATATCCGTACCATCGGACTTCATGCAGTGAAAGCGGTTCATGTCCAGCGGCAAGAGCGAGGTACATTGCTGGACATTCAGATAGACCATAAGTAACCGATCCGTGGACCACTTACTGCCCAACCCGAAAATCGCATAGCGAGCATTGACAACGGGCAGCTTATCCAAGTAGCGCTCTATGATACCATATTCGTAGAAGCCATTGCAGACCTGGTACCAGGTGTCTTGGCGGTATTTTCCGCAGGAACTTCGAACATAATCCCAGGCACTCATGCTGGAAAAAAGTGTTCAACTGGCTGGGTGTGTGACTGAAAAATCTTAAAGTTTTCTACTGTCACTTGAACTCTCCGATTCCATCGAATTGTCTCGCTCCGGTGGTCAATCAGCAATCACCAGTCCAGTCATTCCAGGGCAGTGAGTGTGGGAGGTAGCCCGTTCCAAAGGTGACATTGGAGCCGAGTTCCGGTGGTCGACCAAGTGGAATTCAGTGGGCAGATACCAGTGCCAGTGCCGGTGGCGCCACCGCAAAGATACACGACATTTTAATTGGACATTATCAGCCACCTGCGGAGATGCGAAAATCAGGCGAAAAACTGGAATGGAGGGGATTATGGGGAGTGCTGGATAAGCCGCTAATTAAACGCCAATTGGAAATGTTTGCAAAACGGTTTGAGTCTCCAGATACAATTCCTGGACCCCCTCGATTCCATTTCGGCTTCACCCACTCTCCATTAGCGGCCGCCATGTGTCACTGATCTAAATTTATGCAAATTGCCGAGGACTTGGTTCTACGTCAATGTCCTGGCGCTCCTGCCACATTGGCACATTTCATTTTTGCTCGCGCCTCCGATTGCAGTTGGTTTTTTTCCCGCCTCAGTGGGGATTGGAGGGCGAGGGCCGGATAAAGTGGGGTTTTGGGAGAAGGGTTAATGGGTGGAGGATGCTGACTTGGCAATGCATTTCAAAAAAGATACACTTTCTATGGGCATCTATCCTACAGATCTCACATAAGCTATATTAGAAACCTTTGTATGTCTATAAAAATAATATATTTTTATTTTCAAAATATTTTCGATAGTGTATACATTAGTGTCATATAACTAACTTTGTTAGACAGTTGCTGGATAGTGTTTTCTGGATAGTTTTGACTGCCAGCGCTGATTATTAAATCACAAGGCAGGGCCAGCAATCTGATATGCAAAATCTCGTCTAACCCAGACGAGGCAACTCCAGCGCCGTATCCCCCAACTCCTCCGCCTCCGGGGCTCCACCGAGAGGCATCTGTCCTGCGTTAATTACAGCCCAGCTCTGCGCACTGGCAACAACTTGTTAAAAATTTCCGCTGCAGTTTATTAGAGGGCAACTAACTAAGGCACCAGCCTGGAAGTATCTCTCCCTTTAGCTCCTGGCTCTTATTTTTACTTTTTTGCTGCAAGTGCCTGGCAAATTACTTACTCTGAACCTGTTTTAATGACTAAAATGACGCCAAGTCAAGAGCAAGAGGGAGATTTGGGCAAACTTGCCAAAGTTTATGCCAAGCGGAAAGGGATTAAATCTGATATCTTAGACTATTTTTTAGTACTAGTGCTTCTAATTAATCAAGAAAGGGGGAAACAATGCAAGGCAGCCCTTTACAATTTTTAGCGCCTTGTTAACAAGCCTAAGAGCCTTTTGAGAAGTTACCTTTTAAGCTCTGGCTTTGTCTTCCAAAATTTCGAAATAAAATAAAAATAAAGAATATAAATCGCGAGAAAGCAACCCCGTTTAGAGCCGTACTAGCTACTAGCCGGCGCATATTTTATTTTATTTTACTTTCGTTTTATTTACTTTTTCCGCTTAGCATTATTGTTTTAAAATCCTTCAAATCCGTTGTTTTACTGCTTATTGTCTTTCCCAACTCTGCTCGCAACTTTGTTACCAGCTTCTATAACTTTTAAGCCAGCTTAAGGCGCCTAACAAAAGTTCGCGGTTCCGGGGAATCGGCACGAAACTTTCCCATGAATGGGTGGTCGTCATCCGCCATCCAACATTCGCGAGGAAAAGCGGCCGCCGCCCGGCATCGTCCAATTTGTAGTTCATCATCTGTCCTGTTCCGTGGACCTGTCACAGCCCTGCCCCAAATCTGACAAGGCTCCTAATTGAAGGGGCAGGTGAAGGGAAGAGGTCTTCCGGTCTTGCCCGAAAAACTGAAAAATGTTTTGACATTTGAGACCTTGTGCCGAGCCACGCACTTAATTTATTTTAATTGAAAAAGGCCCACAAAACGGATTAGCTTGTCGAATCCACAGGCTGCTACAGACTCCTGAAATTATTCTTACCTGTGCACCAAACCAAACAAAGCTGAAGTTCAAAGTTTGCAAGGTCAAGTTGGTCCGAAATCAAAGTCAAAACCAAAGCTGAACAAACTATTTTTACAGCCCAGTGCCGCAGGTATGTAAGTGTACAAAGTACATAATTTTTACGATGATGCATTAAATTAAAAACTTTTCTCCCCAGAACCGAGAAAAAAAACAGCCATTAGGCGGGCCTTAGATGTTTCTTCGTTGCTGGCAGGGCACAAAATCCAATGCAGATTAAAATTTTTTAAATGGAAAGTAATTCCCCAAGTGCGGCCATAAAACAAACTCGCCAGTCCAAAACTTTTCCATCATCCCTCGCTTTAATCGGCAGGAGACGGCGAGAAGGAACAACTTTTGCAGGTTTTAACGACTTTGCATCGGTTTTCATGGCCAAAATGCCGAGGCAGTCGCTTTTATGGTTGACACAACATATTTGCCAGCATTCCAGGCCAATTGGCAACTCCGCATCGACCATCTTACATCTCACATCGCACATATCCGGCGATCCACAGCCGCATCCTAATTGTTGCGCCCCGGCATTTTATGGCATTTTGAAAGCCATTAATCCGAATTTGATATCTGCTTAATTAGTTTTCCCTGCTTGGCTTTTATGGCCACAACTCTCGTAAATTTTCATGATCGATTTGCGCACCAAAGCGCGAAAAGAAAGCTCCACCCAACCAGTAGATAAGAAAGACCTAACACATCGTTTCGAGTGGTATGGAATTGAATTTAATTATCCAGTAGAGCTGTGGAGACACCTCTCCCAGTGCTTGATGCCAATCCAGGCGGACATATCCACGCGATTCTCGTAAAACTTGATTATCATCTGAGGTAGCCGCTTTTTGACCTCGGTCGACAGAACCAGCTCTGTCTCTTCCTGGCCCTTGAACTTCATAATATACATCAGCCCGCCGTTTCTCATCACAACTCCTTTGATTTCCTCCGGCTCCTTTCCACAGTCGTACCAACGTTCAGACATGATGTGGATTCTAGAAGAAAAAACCAAACTTTATTTCTTAAAAATGAAAGGCAGTACGCGGCGATCCTATTTTAAGGCCAGCCATTGGCAACTCTGCACCGTTGCCGGCGTGGTTTGGTCTTGTGAACATGCTAGCTCCTATCCAACATCAAACAATGCAAAATGCACTTTGATTGCTGTTGACCAACTAACAGGAACGCGTCCATTTCCGCGAAAAGCTGGCCAAAACAGCGAAAAGTGGTAATGACCGGAGAGGAGCTGCTAATGTGGCTGCCAGGCTGCCGCTTTGTGTGCATTTGCTTTGGCGTTTAGGCCAAGGCTTTTTGGCACATTTTCGCCAACCAATTTGCGAGGCGAAGCCAGAGAATTTGTTCGCCTTTGACCATCAATGGTGATTGACTGGAAAAAGAACTCCCAGAGACAACGCTCTGTTGGATCACATGCTTCAAAGGTTTCAATTTCAGAGTCGCCAAAACGATGCACGAGCAACGAAGACAAGTCGCAAATCACAACCATTCTTCAGTTACAGAAACGTGAAGATAATTCTTTGAACTTAGGTTAATTTTACATACCTTTTTTACCAAAAAACGTGCTAAGACTTTTTCTCAGAACTGGAATGCCAAAACGGAAGCTCCAAATAGTGTGCTTTTGGTTACAGTGTTGGAAGTCGCGTATTTTTCTAAAGAAAATGTTGAGTCATTCGAGAATTTGTGGCAATATTGGAATATGCGGAATCGGTCCATTAAAAACATTTTCGTCAAGATGGATTTTTAAAATCTATATAGTATTATATTTTATAAATAAAACATGTTGCTAAACGCTGAAAAATGTTAGCACTTTTGAGTTTTAAGATGGGAGTTTGGGACACTTATAAATATAAAATAATTCAACAATAAAGTTTATAAGATTTTTAGTGATCCTAAAGCAAAGGGTATATATAGGCTTTGAATAATAATGATAATCATCATTTAATTAAGATTTAAAATAATTTGTAACCGAATTCTCATGCGTTTGGATCAATCGCCGATTACATTGAGATCTGGCTTCCGGTTGCAGTGTTGGAAACCGTGGCAACCGTGGCTATCGATATTTTCTATTACACAATTTAACGAGTTTTTGTACACGGTAGCTTTTTGCTTTTCGCTTAATTACCAACTGTCGCACCTGAGGCCAATTATCGTGGAGAAATGTCGACAAAAAAGGGAAACACATGAAGTGCCTGCAGAGGAAAAACATTTTAATTAATTGAATTGTGTATCAAGCCTATTGGCCGATCCACCCGCATACACACATATCCTCATGGAGGAACTCATGTAAATATTTCAATGACTTTAATTAACCAAAAACGTTGCAATTAATTGACTTTGGTCGCTCAATTTAATTAATATTTGTTGTTGTTTATTGGGCAAAGGCAGTCCAACATTTAGCTTCAAATATGTTGCATTTTCAGCATCGTGCTTTTTGCCAAACCCTCACAGCATTAATCAAATTGTGTTAAATTGTCTGCAAGGGCAGACAAAATTAAAAATGCTTCGCAATTTATCTAGGGTGTAAGCACTGGCCGGATGGCTGTCTGATGCGATTTTCCAGCACTGGTTGAAGCTCATGGAATTTTGAGGTATCCACCTCTTGCCCGTTCTTCTCCTTTGCCTTTTCTCTGGGGAGACCGCTTAGGAAAGTGTCAGGCGAAATGAAATTCTTTATTTTAATAATGCAAGTTTGCACATTTTTAATTGTGCTGCCGACAGCTGCAAGAACTTGGCTGCTCACTTGACCCACAAAGGTGCGGCCACTGCAATTGAGGGTGCAAAAAGAGAGAAAAATGTGGGTGTGTCAGGTGAAAAGCAGGGGCTTAATGTGGGCGGCTGGCAGGGATGATGAGTTGACCTTTAATTTAAGTCAGACCAAGCTCAATAGAACTATTATCTTAAAATAATACTGAAAAAAAAGATGATTAGAAAGAGTAAGCTCTTAGGAATTTTTTTGTACTCTTTATCCTTTCTTTTTGGCCTCCAGGTTGAGCATCTCTGTTGAGGAAAGGTGAGCCAGGTAAGGCGAGAAAAACCGCGCTTCCCATAAAGGGACGCTGCAAGGACATTACGACTAAATGTAAACAGCTTAATTAAAAAATAAAACTCCGCTCGGCACGTACAAGGAAAAACAACGCACACACACGTGTGCGGCGTGGGTAAAGGGGAGGAAAATCCCCACCCACTGTGGTGTATTTTGGCATCACATGTACATACATACATACGTATGTGTGTGGGTGGCAAGCTGCGCACACTTTCTTCATTTGCTTAAATGCACAAAAGTGTTTTTAATTTAATTTTTCGTCTTTTTGCACGCTCTTGCCGCTGGATGCTTGCTCCTGGTATCCCCTTTCCTACTTTGCTTTTTGATGCAATTCCTAATTAAAAAGAAAGTAATTTTTCATCAGCAACCGCGTCCTGGAAAGTAAAATAAAATAATTTCCATGGCAGCCATTGAAGTGCTCATTAAAAATGTTTCCAACCAGTTGCAGTTTTAAATAAATACCCACGTATGTGGCATTAAAAATGCTCAAAATTGTTTCGAATGTTTTTAGCGGGAAATTTGAAATTATTTGCTCTCCGAGCTCTCTGGGTGCCAAGTACTCCTCTGCCTCCATTCGCCTGGCAAGCAGTCCCCCTTTTCCAATTTCCCTCTCCCTTGCAAGAATTGAATGTCCCCATCGTCGTCAGCTGTTCAAGTGTTTTTCCAAGTCGAAACTTTTCTTTTAAATATTCCCCATACTTATCCCCCATACCAGCCATGTGCTGCAAAGTTTTATGCATACGCATTAATGTGAAAATGGAGGCAGCAATGGCGGCTGGGAAGGGGAATCCCCTCTTGAATGGGTCCTTGGAAAATGCAAGTACCGTTTCACTGCATACAAGGATAAAGAGCAGTTGCCGGCGAAGGGTAATTATAAAGTTTGCTCTGATAACTTTTGTTTTAGGCAATGAATCCATTTTATTTCCTTTATTTCCAGGCCTTCCATCTTCCGATTTCAAGTGGCAAGTTCCACCAAAGAGGATTAATGCTTCGGGCCCACAATGTGTTCTTGAATAAAGCCAGTGCTTGGGCGACTTGATCCGATATAAACTGATTATGCTGGAGCTGCCCTCGCACCCAGTCAGCCCCGGAGTGCATGTTCCCCCAATTTGCATGCCAAATTGTTTACTTCTGGCATTTGGAAATGTGCTTTATCAATTTGGATTTGAATTTGAATGTGAGTGGAGTCCACAAAGAGTTGCATGTTTGCCGGCATGCGAATTACTTTTCCAAATAAAATTTCCGCAAGAAACCATGAAAAATGGCGCCAGATTTTCAGGGATAAGCAACAATTTGATTTAGCGAGTTGACTGCCCTGGAAAGTCATGCTTAAAGGTGACTTCATTCCCGGCTCCGTGGGCACACAATCTGGAATGTCATCATCATCAGACACTCTAACCACCATGTGCCACCTGAGCCACCCTCTGCCAAATGGCGCTATCAAAGACAGGGAATGTCTATTTAATTGTGTCTGCAACGGTGTCGGCATGTCGGTGTTGCAAGCTGGAGTTGGCCCTTTACGGGTGAAGGGAGTGGCAGACATGTGTGGGGGTGTTGCAGCATCAAATGCACTCTAGCCCGGGCTCCAGTTAACTGACACAGCATACTGATGAGGATTTTGCACTTTCCACCTAAGAGTCCAGGCAACCTGTCGAAAACTTTAAAAAACAATCTAAAACTAAAAATTCTTTAAAGATTTTAATTAGTTTAGTTAATTTTCAAAGCACTGTTTTTACAGCACTGCTGACTTTTCATCGCAGGTGTTGCAGATGGTTGTCTGCGTTGCGGTTGCCACACCTGCAATTCGAGTAGCTTGGCTTATGTGCAACGTGCACTCATACATGCATGTGGGTGCGAGTGGGTGGTGGTGTGTGTTGGGCGGTGGATGATAAAGACGTAAAGATTTCGCCTGTTCATGCTCATTATCACGTAGCGATTCCGTTTAATGATGATGTTAACCAAGTGGATCGCAATATCCTTCTCTCTGTATATCCTAGCACCTCCCCGCACCACTTATATTGTTTGTGGCATCTTTTTTCATTTATTTTCCGGCAGCTGCGCTCCGGTTGTAAACTTTCCGACCAAAACTGACACTTTCATGAAACAATTTAAAAAGTCATTGTCATCGCCGGCTATACATAGTTCGTATGTCTTTCTGGCCACTTGCTGCTGAGTGTCCTGGAGCAGGACTCTCCCCGACACCCTTCCGTGTCCCTGCCTCTTAAATGTCCTGTCAATGGCACCGTCATTTGTTTTGTTGCCCATTACGGTCAGTGTCCCGAGTTGAAAACAAAACTGTCATTGCGCCGGCTCCGAGCAAGTGCTCGGTTGAGAAGCTCTACTCCAATTGGAGCTGAAGTATGTGCCCCGTAATCCCTTCCAGCAGTAACTGGAATGCCCTTTAGTCGGTCCGGGATATGCCCACTTACTGAGGGATAAGGTGTCACTACTATGGAGAGGGTATTATCGATTCGTGTTGGCAATCGCCGAGTCGTGTGAAGTTTTGTTTGCGTCGTGAAACTTTTTAACTACGGGTTTCGACTGCCTTTGTTTCCTTGTTGTCCCTTTTCCCGCTTACGTGACAGAGCAATTTCAAAAATAATTTCAAGTCCTCAAGCCAACACGCCCCCAGTAATAGTTGTTGTTCACGGAAGTCGGGGAAATAGTTCGGGTAATGCCTGGCAGACCTACATACGTATATGGCTTTAATAAACAAAAATGATTATCATAATGGCCCCCGCATCGTCTTGATCTTAATCTTAATTCTGGGGGATATTAGTGAATCGCTAAACAAGGATTTACGAGAATGCCCCGCCAGGGATTGTCGCAAGGATGCGTTCCAGCGCTTTTGATTAAGGGACAATAACCTCGCAGCAAATGTTGCAGAAATTCATTATTGCAGCGTAATGATGAAAAGGGGGAGCTGGAGGAGGAGGAGGAACTCCCAACGATGGCTCCCAACAGTGTAATTTGTGCGAGCCAAAGCCACAGGATTTTATTGAGCGGAAAATTAAAAGCATAAAATTGCACGCTTTAAATTTGAGTGCAGCGGCAAGTGAAAAGTGGCAAAGTGGCGAAGTGGCAAGTGGCAGCAACAGAAGCCGCACCCGCAAAGTGTCGGGGCATATCGCACAAAGAGCCAACTCCAAGATTGCCACAAAGCATGCCACGCCCTTTCCCTCCCACTCCAGATGCTGCAACGCCCCCCCCTCCCACATCTGGAGTCCGCAATCTGTGGCTCGGACTCTCACGCGCATACTAAATTCAACTTATTGACAGGCTTGCAGTGGCACGTGTTCCGATAAGGGACTCACCAGGGCAGGGGAATACCTGGCCAAGACCATTTCGGCCAAAAGGTACACAATGTTAATTACAAATTTATTAGCAAAAGAGGCGAATGCTTTCTTATCGGAAGCCTCCACTCCCGCTTTAAAATCGACTAAGAATTTGATGAACACTGGTTGCAATTTTGAAAGAGAATGCTTCCTGGCCAGAATGAAAACAAAAGGATCTATCGATCTCTCTTAAGGACGACACCTTGTATGGCATAAGCGAATGAGCTTGATGGCTTCACGTACTGCTCCGGATCGGTGGACGGGCAACCGGAAGCGGACTCGGGGGTGCCGTCTGCTCCACGACAGGTACGTCGAAAAGGGGATGGTGGTTGAGGAGATCAAAGCGCACAATTTTGTATGTGGAAACTAGCCACTGGCCCATGCACCGGTTGTTATCCCGGACGTTGCCCATGCGGGTCGGTGTGACCGAGTAGTCACGCCGGAACCGCAGGAACACCTCGGCGAAGATCAACGGATGGGAGACGGTCAGCTGGGTGGGATCCACGTACTGGTTCATCAGCACGCTCATATCCTTCTTGTCGGTGAAGTCCGTGAAATCGTTGGAGCGCCGCAACGCCACATAGACCACGTCGATAAACGCGAACCGGTGGTCGTAGTGGGGCAAGAGTTGAACCTTCAGCGGAATGGCCCGGCGGAAGTGGTGCTTCTCGAACCGCATCATTTTGAGGCGCCAGTCGAAGGTCCCCTCCAGCAGATCGTGATTTATCTGCTTGAACCCCATCGGCGTGGTGCAGCGCTCCACGTTCCTGGTCCGACGGCGACGCACAAAATCGGTGAGTACCGCCGCCGCCTGGGTGGAGTTGTCCATGAAGACGTGCTCCGAGAAGCTCCAGTCCCACAAGAGCTTCAGGCGCAGCAGCGACAGCTTGGTGAGGAGCCTGGTCATCGGACTGTGGTAGTAGATGAACGAGGGCAGGGACACCTTCGGAGGCTCGTCCTTTGCGACGACGAGGTCCACCTGGATGTCCAGGAAGTTGTTTGAGGCGTTAATCGGCACCGGCCGCGACACATTGGGGCGCGGGTTGATGAAGCTTAGGGGTCGTCCCACCCGGATGGGGGCCATCAACGAGCCACAAGGAAGTTGGACGGCGCATCGCACTGTCCGAGCCCATCCGCTGTTTGGCCAGGGCATGGGCATCATTCCATACTTCAATTTCGGTAAAATTTTGTCTAAAGTAAGCCAGACACTGGGCTGGAAATATATGTATACTCGTGCTTGGCAGGAAACGCTTAGAGTGATGGACTGGGATGAGTGCCATTGCACATGGCTCCCTATTTTCCAAGCTGAACCTCCTCCACACCTGAAGTAGTTTCCTCCTAAAATGTAAGCCCTATCAAGCTCAATGTTTTCCTTATGTATTTGCACATATTGTAGCAACAACACAATAAGGTCTTAATTGGGCCGACTTGGGAGGAGGAGGACTCCACCCGACAGCCTGCATTATTCGATAGACTCCCGCAGGAGCCGGAAACACATGGATTGCTCGAACAGCGTGCAATTATCGAATGCATTAGCAAATGCAGAGTGCGCCGGCTTTCACCTTTCACCTCCCGCATTTGTTTGCCGAGCGTTCGTTTATCTCGGCCCTGGCCCGTCCAAGAAAGGCAAACAATGGCAGATGTGGAGACATGGCAGCTCCGCCTCCTGGCAACTCCCACGCCCACTGGCCCCCCGGCAGCTTGCTCCAATCCGGGTTAATTACATGACAATTGATTTCGGTTTTGGCTTGGTTTGGAAGTGCCGACTGCAAAATATGCAAATGTTTTCGGGATAATTGAATGGGAGAGTCTGTGAGTCAGACAACAGAAGTAATATTAGTCTCGGGTGCAAGACATAACTCGGGTACAGTTGGCCCCAAAACATCTTCGATTGAGGTAGATAATGAAATGATTTAGCAACCTCTGGTTGACAAATTGAAAAGCCTGCCAGTATTATTTGTGCAATTAATTAGGCAATTTATTAGAACAATTATCTAGTTGCAGCCAGGAGATAAAACTGGGAATCGGAATCAATCAATTAGTTATTCGAACTAAGCTCCTTGTAGGAGTTTTTCCAAACTATCCGAATGCAAATCTCCGGGAAAAGCGTTTCACTCTGATGCCTGCGAGCTCTTTAACAATTCAAATGCCAGCCATCCATGTTTGATGCCGTAGATTTATCAAACGAAATATGAAATGAACGGAATAGCATAAGCCCACGACAATGAAGAGCTCCGGACTGCGGACTCCGAAGCCGTAGCCAGAACCGGAAACGGGACGGAGAGCGAATGGCTGCCGGAGGGCAAGTGTAGCCAGTGTACCGGAGCATTTGGGCGCACAAATCCTCGTGTAATCCCCGGACCAGAGACTCGTATCACAATAAAATATGTTAAGTAAATACGGAAGGCGTGGTAGTGGTTGATGGAAAAGGGAGGACCTGGGTGGAGAGGGAAAACTAAACAATAAGCCAAAAAGTACGCTTGATTAAGTTTAACTTCCGGTCTGTTATAAATTGAGCATTTATGTGGGATTTGTTTGCGAAAACAGTTTCTACTTTGTTGGGCAGATTCCAGCCCGAAATGGCTCAAACCTAGGCAATCCATCCATCGAGCTGCCAAACGAGACAAATGTTTAGGCCAACAAACACACACACCCACACACATCGAGCCACGTACGCATACAGAGACGTAGCCGCACACACACTCTCGTATGTCTATTTCCGGCGGAAGTGGTGAATAAAACATGAAACGAAACAAAATGACGGCCCTGAGGCAGAGGTAGAAAAAATAACTTTTAGTGGCCAAAAGTGAACATCCGTTGGCCTGGCCAGAGATTTCGTTGCCACTGCTGTTGCTGGTTTTTTTTTTCTCCTTTTTTACTTTATTTTGTTTACTTGGGCGCAAATGGATAAATTATTCGTGACCCAGCCAATCGAAGGGTCAAATAAAAATTAAATGGCAAACATTTTATCGAGCTCTGGTCGGAGTACTTCTGTGCAGTTCTGGCACTTAATATCCGTAGATAAAATATTCAATTTCCCCCGATGACAGACTTAGGAAATGGCCAAACACCCTGTGCCCGAACGGGGCTGGAGGTTCACCTGTCTGGAAAACAAGATATACATGCATAAGTACATACATATATCTATTAAAATAATACGACAAACTGCCAAGGGCAAGCTGGACTTTCATTTCTTGAGAGCCAATTATTTGACCAGAACCGAATATTGTAATCACTCGGCTGTGGAAATCCCAATTATCCTTATTGCCCCTTCTGGTGTCAGCCAACCGGACCAGCTGCAGTCATCAACTGCAATTCAGGGCCGCAATCCATTTCGCAAAGTGCTTCATTAACGATCTGTGGCTTGTCTGCCCGCAAATTATTTTATTCATTTGCGATGCAGGACTCTCTGCCTTCCCTGATACTTATTCCCCAAAATCCCAAAATATACTTTGGATTAGTGTTTGGGTGGAAAGAGGAGTAGCATGGGATTTATTATTACTATTGCTCACTATTGTACAGGACACACACTCGGAATTTAAAGATAGTTAAAGTATTGGGCGCAGTGCCCCCCAAAGCCATAGATCTGTTCACACCTGCTACAAGGGCTGTAATAGGAGCTGCAGGAACAGCTGTAGGGGCAACCCCCACATGGGATGCAACAGTGATTCCGAAGGGGAGGCCGCTCCATCCGGGTGATCAGGTCGTTGGACGGATAGCAGAACTTCGTTTTTGGTTCGGGACGCTTGCGCTTTGGCGGTGGCTTTTCCTTCCTCTCATGCAGCTCGGTGACCTTGTTCTCTACCACTGCAGCCACCTCCGTCATCTTTCCCTCCGAGTCGGGCATCAACAATGCCGCCTCCTTTCTTTTCGTGGTCACCACCTGAAGGGTGCTCTTGCGTACTTCATTTGGAGGTTTTTCCGGTTCAGTATCTTGGCTGAAAAATATAAGGATTGTACGGAAAAGTGTGAGAAGCACCTTCGGGAGTCATAAAGAGTCTAACCTGGTTGCTGGGAGGTGCTCCTCGGCTGAGACCATGATCATGTGAGACCCTGCAGAGGGTCGGCGACGTCGGGTCGCGGATGGACGGCGTTGGGGTACACTGACAGGGTTGTCGCGTTGTTGAGGACCGGTGATGTGTGCTGTTGTGTCGGAGGTCACCTTCACCTTCTTCATGTCGGGATAGTCCTGGGGGCGGACTACTTTCTGGTTATTCACAAAGCTGTTGCTCCTTCTACGAGCTGGGGTGGTGGAGCTGGACACGGGGATGGAACTTGTCTTGCTACGAAGCCCAAACTTCAAGGACTCCACCACATTGGGCTCTAGGGTGGTGTTCAAGGAGTTCAGGACGTCTTCCGTAGAAGCCAGAATGGCAGCCGTTGATTTTGCATCTTCGACACGGGTATTCCATTTCCCGGACTCAGTGACGTTCTCCTCCCCTGTTATAGGGACCTTACCGGCCTTGGTTATCTGTTGCACCTCGGTTACGACTTGTCCGCTGAGTGGAAATTTGGTCACCGATTGCTGCTCCGTGATTTCGATCTCCTTCTCTCCGGTCCGATGCGTTACCTCCGTCTCCTGCATTGTGATCTCTCTGATTTCGAAGATTTCTGGCTCCGGTGTTTGCGACTCTTTGGACTCCGATTCAGTGTCGTCAGTTTGGATGCCCTGTTCGTGGGTGACAACATAGCAGCATCGAGGTTTCCTTCTCCGGCGGCACCTCTTGGGTTTCGGTTCCTCGCACGGCTTAGGGCAGCAATCCTCTTGACTTTCCGCTTCCGGTTCACAGCAGGTGTCATCGTCTTGCTGGGAATCTGACTGGTTTTTCCTACAGGCTGGACACTGTTGTGGGTCGGGATTCTGCCTCCCCATTTGGGGGCACCGTTGATTCAGTCCCGATTCGGCGACAGAACATGGAGGCGTTCGATTGTACCCGTGTTGCTCCTGATTGTGATCTTGGAGGTCGTTCATGGGCGAGTAGTTTGAGACCGAGCCCTGATGCTCCTCATCCAGGGCCATGGCCGTAGGGGCGGGAGCTTGGGGCTGTCGATATTTGCAGTAGGGAACCTGACAGAAGGTAACGACCGAGGGACGCGAGGCCGGCCATCGGACGAAATTGGTCGGCGCCCTGTCCTCCGAAGGGTAGCCCTGGTTTACGGACGCCTTCGCCATCATCGGACTTGGCCGCATCGAGCACCGAGCCCGGCAGAAGGGGGGCTCGCTGGTCGACCGGAAGGCGAAAACGTCTCGATTACCCTGCATTTCGACCAACAAAAGGGATCGAAAAAGAATAAGTTGCTGGCTTCACAAGGATTACATTCGACGACGGCCAACGAGGAACTCCCACGACTCGACAAAAGCTATTTTTTTTGGTAAAACATACGAATGAGATTTATTTTTATTTTTTTTTTTTAATGTAACACAATTACAAAATTTCAAGGCATACTTGGTATACAATTTGTGGAATAAACCAAAAATGATGTGTCGGGGCTTCAGCTCAAGAATTGGATGTCAATTGGCCAGGATATACACATAAGAAGTGGCCATATATGAGAATCCTACATTCAACAAGGGGTCCCCCGCAAAAATTTTTAAAAATTTGGATCCAAAAATTTTAGTCTAGGTTTTGATGCAGATTTACGGGAGATCGTACTAGAAATCGTTTAAGGTATTCCGCTTAAGAATCGAATTTCAATTGGCCAAGATATGCACATTGGAAGTGGCCATATCTGAAAATCCTGCATTCGACAAAGGGTCCCCCACAAAAATTTTGAAAAATATCGATCCAAAAATTGTAGTCGAGGTTTTGATGCAGATTTGCGGGAAATCGAACTAGAAATCGTTTAAGGTATTCCGCTTAAGAATCTGATGTCAATTGGCCAAGATATACACATTGGAAGTGGCCATATATGAGAATCTGGCATTCAGCAAGGGATCCCCCACAAAAATTATAAAAAATTTGGATCCAAAAATTTTAGTCAAGGTTTTGATGCAGATTTACAGGAAACCGAACCAGAAATCGTTAAAGGTATTCCGCTCAAGAATCTGATATCAATTGGCCAAGATGTGCACATTGGAAGTGGCCATATATGAAAATCCTGCATTCGGCATGGGGACCCCCACCAAAATTTTGAAAAATATCGATCCAAAAATTTTAGTTGAGGTTTTGATGCAGATTTACGGGAAATCAAACTAGAAATCGTTAAAGGTATTCTGCTCAAGAATCGGATGTCAATTGGCCAAGATATGCACATTGGAAGTGGCCATACATATATGAAAATCCTGCATTCGGCATGGGGTCCCCCATAAAAATTTTGAAAAATATCGATCCAAAAATTTTAGTCGATGTTTTGATGCAGATTTACGGGAAATCAAACTAGAAATCGTTAAAGGTATTCTCCTCAAGAATCGGATGTCAATTGGCCAAGATATGCACATTGGAAGTGGCCATATATGAAAATCCTGCATTCGGCATGGGGTCCCCCATAAAAATTTTGAAAAATATCGATCCAAAAATTTTAGTCGAGGTTTTGATGCAGATTTACGGGAAATCGAACTAGAAATCGTTAAAGGTATTCCGCTCAAGAATCTGATGTCAATTGGCCAAGATATGCACATTGGAAGTGGCCACATATGAAAATCCTGCATTCGGCATGGGGTCCCCCACAAAAATTTGGAAAAATATCGATCCAAAAATTTTAGTCGAGGTTTTGATGCAGATTTACGGGAAATCGAACTAGAAATCGTTTAAGGTATTCCGCTCAAGAATCTGATGTCAATTGGCCAAGATATGCACATTGGAAGTGGCCACATATGAAAATCCTGCATTCGACATGGGTTCCCCCACAAAAATTTTGAAAAATATCGATCCAAAAATTTGAGTCGATGTTTTGATGCAGATTCAGGGGAAATCGAACTAGAACTGGAACTATTTTTTAAACATAGCCCTTGGTTGCTCCGTCATTTTCAGTCACATTTCAGTTAAAAAACCCTTCAAACCACAAACAGTTTTTACATATTATATTATACCGTTTTAGCGAAATTTTTTTAGTACGAAATTATAGCCGAGTATTTTTTAAGAAGCAAGCATGAAAATCCGAGCCAAGCTAGAGGAGGTCAACAAGAAGTTGAACCTGGCGGCCTGGTACACGGCCATGTCGGTGGGGCAAGAAAAGCTGTGCGTCGAAATGCACAATATCCTGCGAGATGACTATGAGCAGGGAACGGGCCACCACATGTACCAGGCGCTGCTCACCCTGGGTCTCAAACCGGTGATATCCAAGGACAAGATCAGCCGGATGGTTCAGCTGAGCAGGAACAACGTCCTAGCATTCCTTTTCTTCGTTCTAGAGGGGTACTACAAGACCTGTCACAAGGACGGCGTGTTCAGCGTCAACGAGAAGCTCCTTATGATCGCCATTGCCAAGATTGACTTCCTACCTACGGTACGGGCCTTGGACACCGTCCTGCCGGAGGCAAGGCCCAGCCACTTGGACGTGAAGCGCCAGGAGGCGGAGAAGCGAAAGGCTGATGAACCAAAGCTGATCCCAGTTCAATCGGACGAATCCGCGCCGCCGAAAAAACAGAAACGGAAGCAAGTAAAGAAGTCTCCCTACTTTATGGCCCAACCCAAGCCCGTTCCGAGAACCTCCAATCTGTCCACCACTCTCCCGGACTTCGTGGTGGGCTTCAAGTTCTGGCCAATCAACGGGCCGCCCAATTACGGCAAGGAGGAGCCGACGCCTTGGTTCGCCCAGTATCGCCTTAATCCCGGCCAGCGTCTGATCAAGCAAACACTCGACGACACCCTTGAGCGCTACTTCAAGCTGAGCCAGGTCGAGAAAAAAAGCGACGACGAGGCGACGGAGGGCGAGAAAAGCGAGGGGACCATGTGTCTTGTTCACAGGGGTCTGGTGGTGCAGTCGCAAATTCTGCGGGACGAGATGGCGGTGAAGGCGCGCGACCGCTGCCTGGAGCTCATCGACGTCAGAGAGCCGTATGCCAAGCTCCGACGAAAGCGGATCCTGGAACAACTGGAGCACGACATCGACATCATCATGGAGCGCCATCGCAAGGCCATGCACTGCGACCAGACCAAGGTGATGACCATCGATAACTTCAACTGCGTCCTCTGCCAGCAGATGCTGGTATCGCAGCCCTGGCCAGAGCCCGGCGTGAAAGTGGGCCGAGCCTTAGTGGGAGAAGATCAGGAAATGGCCCACACGGCGGCCACGGACACGTATCGGGGCAGGAGACTAGAGGGTGGTGGCCATGATGAAGATGATCAGGACATGGCTCACACGGCTACCTTGGACACATATCGAGGCAGGAGACTAGAGGGTGGCGGATGCGGCGGTGGCAAGGTAAGCATATGCCTTTAAGATCATAAATCACAAGCTGATTGTCCTCTTTTAGAAAAAGGATCCCAAGAAGGGCAAGGAAAAGAAGAAGAAGGAAGAGCCCCCACCACCGGAACCGGATAATAAAAAGAAGAGACCTGTTAAGAAGGAGCCGCAATGGAAGCCACCGTCACGCAAGTTGGTAAGTGGAGGATTCCGGATGACGGACATTGATTTCACAAAGAAGTCGGAGCGGTGCCGGGCGCCGTTACAAGTGTCGGAGTGCTCGCTGCCGCCGGCGCCCAAGAAGATGGCCATCTCGTTCTTCCTGGCTCCGGGAAAAATCGATGCGAAAGGCCGTGAGTGCGAGATACGGTGCTCCAGCAAGCGGACCAAAAAGAAGTTCTTCCGCGGAACCCGTACTAACAGACCGTACAAATTCAAGTACCAGCGGGTCTTTAAGTCCGGCCAACCCAAGCCCTTCGACCTGGACCGGATTCTGTGTACGTCGTTCGTCAAGGCGTTGGATAAATCTGATTCCGGGCCGTCGGCAGATTGCGATTTCGATTGTTTGGTGTCGGAGATCAACATCGAAGACGAGATACCACCCGGATCTGAGGAAGAAGCGGGCGAGAAGTGGCCTACCCGACCTGAGCAAAAGAAAGGTACGCCTGCGTTAGCGCAGATGGAAAATCAACGACCCCCTGACCTGTTCGACCCGTACGCGGAGCAATATACGTCGGAAAGCAGGAGTACCCTGGACCGCTCCAGCGACCACAGCCAGCGCAGCCATGTCGACCACAAGGCGGAGATTGTGGAGGCGGTGCTGCGATGCGCCAAGGCCATATTCAAAAAGCAGGAGACGATCAAACGGGCCGAGATGGAGCGCGCGGACCGCCTTACAACGCGCAAGGCCCTCGTCTACAAGGAAGGCGAAAAGTACGATCCCGACGATGCCGAACAGATGGACAAGCTTCTCAAGGACGGCTTGCGACTGCTGAGCAAGGATCAGCGCTTCGTCCTGGCCAGTCTGCCGGACTCGCACAAGATTCCGCAGCTGCGCGAGTGGATCAAGCGGCGCTTCGGCAAGGTCTACACCCATAAAGAGCTGGAGGCCAGCATAAACGAGGCTAATAGGATTTTCGAGATGGTATCCCTCGTGCAGGACAGCACCCCTACTCCAGACTTGATGGGTCTGGACAGGGTGAAGCCGGGCGAGGAGAACTTTGATCACTACAAGTCCCTCAAGAAAGTGGTAAGTCTGTAATGCCCATGAACTATTCTCGTCTTATCCCCCTTTATACCACATAGGCTGCCAAGGCTAAGTTGAAGTACTACGACGTCCTAAACTCGAGCTACATGGCCAGCCTAAACCCTGCTTGGTACGCGATGGGCAACTACCTCGTGCCGGGTGGACCGCCACGCAAGACCTTCTTCTCTTACATGGCCTCGAGTCCGCAGGAGATTATGCGAAATAAGGTCTGGAACGGGCAGTTCCGCGACTACCGGCAGCTCCGCTACAATAGAATCGAGGCGGCTCGCATGGGCAAATGATAAACACAGAAACAGATAACAAGTATAATACACTAAATAATGAAACAAAAATTAAATAATTAAATAAATTATATTAAATAATTAAATGAATAATATTGAATAATACAATTAATCAATTATATTTGGGGCGACTGCGGGCCTGTCTCTTGCCGTTGATGCCCCTGCTCTCCAGATACTCTAGGATGGATCGCTTGGTGTGGACCTTCAGTTGGCAGACGTCAAACTCCAGCTCCTTGTTGCCGTACCCGCCGCCCTCACCGCGCTGGATCAAATGAATCACGTGGAGCAGTACCTCGCCGTCCAGCTGCTGGATCTTGGCGTGCAGGTCAAGATCCTCTTCGGTAGTAAAGGAACTCATCCCGGTCTTCGCCCACTCTGGGACAGGGGCAGGAGGTGGCGCGGTGGAGGATGAGGTGGCTTGGGAGGCCTCGGAGCTGCTGCTCGTCCCACTCTCCTCCGAATCAGAGTCATCTTCCGAAGAAGATGAAGAAGAACTGGAGGAGCTGCTTTCCTCCGTGTCGCTATAGCAGCTTGTCCCTGGTGCTCCCGGGTTGGCCGCCACCTGGGCAAACATCTCCTCAAAGACTACTTGCAACTTCTTGGCCATTTCGTAGCACAGGTGTCCCGGTTTGGTGTACAGGTACGTGTTGTAGAATATCAGGCGCACATCCTTGGCAAAATCCGCGGCGTTCTGGTAGCAGCCGGAGCTAATCCGGTGGCGCACGGTGGACAGGTCCATGGGCTCCTTCACGATCTCGTGGTAGTCGTAGAGGGCCAGCATTTGGGCGTCCAGCGGCTCGTAGAAGACCCAAGCCAGGTGCTTGTACGAGGTACCGAACAAACTCTTTATGATGGCCTTGCAGGCGTTTATTTCCGGGGAGCTTTGTTTCACCGACATCCTTAGGGAATGAAAATTCTCGAAAATAAATTCCTTTTTGACAGATGTCACAGGGTGCCCAGTTAGGGCTGCCACCCCACCGTACTATAGCCAGTATTGGGTATAACCTAAAAACGGAACTCTCTATTTGAGTTAATTATGCAAGTGGTCCAGTCAGGCCACAAATTTATTATTGTAAACATGCGTGGGAGTATCCTTCGCATCCTTTGGCCCCCAAGGCGGTTAATCTAATTCTGGGACCCAAGCAAACAATCCCTTTTTCCGGTGAACGTATTGCCGGAACACTCTGGTTCCCCCGAGATATTAGACCCGAAAATATTTATGGTCAAGCGCTGACGTTGGCGTAAAAATATCCCATTTGCATACAAGCCTTCGAGTGTGTCGACTTTTTTGTAATATGCTTCATATTTGGGCAAATATTTGGTCTGGACTCCAATAGAAACAGTCAACAAGTTTGACTCCGTGAGACCTGTGGGGGCAACCACTGTCTCCCCAAGTTGGATTCTCCAACTTCTGTTAGTTGGATTCCACAAGAGGGGAACTGCCGCTCTCTGGCTGTTAGCTCACAGTCCACAAACGAGGTAGAGCTCTTCTGTTAAGTTGGAGCCCACAATCCCACCTGTCTTGGGATCTTGTGGCTTCGGGGTATTGACTGGCCCCTTCGGCAATGGAACTCCACTGACCCACTTGCGGCTGGGCAGCCCACCTTGCGGCCGCCTCCTGGTGCCTGCCAGTTGACCTTTCCGCACACGCACTCCGCACAGTCACAGGTCTCAGACACGGGCTCCAATTAAAATCCAGTAGCCATTTCCGTTTGGCGGCTGATTCAGGCCCGATTGAAAATTATGCATGCAATTCGCAGCATAACAGACAATTAGAGGAGCATAAAAACGGGGCAGGAACACGGAGGTTAAGTGGCGGACCAGACGGAGAGATTTTTTTTGTATACACAGAGGGAAAAAGCGTGAAGGCTAAAGCCTTTAAACCTGTCGATGCTCATCAAGGGCCCTCCGAGTCTTCGCAGAATCTTAACCACTTTACTAATTCACCATGCCGCGTGCAAATTTCCCTTTCTATTGACGGTTTCCAGATAAAAATCTTGTTTTTCTCCCGCGGCACTCCATCAGTTGACAGATGAAATTATACACCCAGGAGGGGCTGGAGGGCAGACTGGGGGCAGGTGCTAAAAGGATCGCCGAAGGGACTGTGAGCAAAAAAAAAAAAACGTGTGAGACTGTCAGAGGTGAGGGTCCCCCTAGGTCCTACCTGTATCTCATGACTGGCCCGCAGCCCAAATCGGTATATACGTACGATGGATAAATATAAGCAACCCAAGAAGCGGCAATATGAAAGCCCTGCAGAATAACACGGCAACAGCAAAAAAAGATATGAGAAATGTACGATTGGACAGGCTACACATGCTGAAACGAGAGAGACAGGGCTAGGGCCGAGAAAGAGACAGACAGCCAGATGTCAAGCATTCTTTTGACACTTTGTCATAGCATCTCCCGGTGACACTTGTCAGCAGTCGGATTTCGCATTCGAATTTCGCATTTCGCTGGAATGGATGTGCCCCAGTTGATTTATACTGTTCTGTATCACAAATACATCAAGGCCCTCTCCAGCTAGACTGGTGTCTTAATAGAATTTTACTTATGAATCGTTTTGAATTCAATTTTGCTAATGCACGAACGGAGTTCTGACAGGCAGTTCTGAAAGAATCCTCGCCGTTTTATTTTTACCTTTGACAAGCAACCTGTGGCTGGCTTCTCAACGAGGTTACTTAATTCCTCCGATCCAGAGCAAGTCCTGGCCATTTAACCTTATCCATTAAAGAGCCCAATGTCGCGAAAGGAAAATATGATAATCAGCTGGGCTTTTTCCCAAAAAAGTTTCGGTAAAGAGCCCCAAATTAGGCAACAGTTTTGCTATTTAACTAGCCAGTTGACGGCCATTTATCAGGGCGTCTAATCCAATCCCTTCACTGGTCAAATAAATTAAAATGTAAGCCCTTCTCGGCCACTAAATTACACCAAAGATAATTAACCTGTAGGCTCCAGATCCAGATCCCGAGTGGGGTACGGGAGAACTGGAGTCTTTCGATGGTTTTTGCGGGCACTTTATTAGGTCTTCGACCCAAAACGACGGAAGCAGCAGCAACGCCAAGGAGCCAGGACTCCGCCGAGTCAGGCACAAGGAGCACGGAGCAAGGAGTGAACCGAAATTACAAAATGGCGCAAATTATTGGAGGACAGGCAGCGAGTCGACCTCGTTGGCTATTTCCGTCGGCAGGCGCATTTTTCCAAATGAAGTTTCCAAGTAATCATGAAAAAGGTAATTTAATAAAAGCAAAATCGAGCAACATAAAACTAATTTACGGCCTGAAATTGCCTGTGAAAAGCAAGTGAAAACACAGAAAAATATAATATATATATTTTGCGAAAGGAGGCTGAGGTCGCAGAGCGTAGCTGGCCTTTGAAGTTCAAGGTTAAACACACTTGCCATTTCCCAGTTTTTCCAGCTGCCGTTGTTGACCGACCAGCCGTAATAATAGACTTGTGAGACTTGTGAGAAAGGAAGCACAGAGTCCTCTCAGGATTCAATAAAGGATAAGCCGTTGGCCAGCGAATGCATAAGCTCCTTCTTCGTCCTCGCCGGCAATTGCACATCAGCAACATTAAGGACATCAACATCAGTGACCCAATAACCAGCTCAAAAGAGCTCTCACAACGAAAAGAAGGACATCCACAGGACTGGCAGTTGGATTTCCACAACCAGGACAATGGGGCTTAAAGATTTCGATTGACCTTTAACGCGGAAACAATAACAACTTTTAAAGTCTTAACCTCCCCCCCCAAATCAGGATAAGGAATTTTTAATTTTTCGACCCGCAACCCCTTTCAGAGTCCCCCTCTCTGACCACACGTATGACAAAACAATTTTGGCTTATTTATTTCACATATTTCATTTTGGCCCTTTTCCTGGCTTGTGTCCAAGCGCCGAAAATATCCTGCCACAAAATGCTGCAAGGCCAAGAATGGCAGCAGCAAATATGGCTAAAAATGCCAGAGGACAACATGTTAAAGTTTAAGAAAATATGTTGGCAGAAACCCCACGCCCCTGTCCTTGCTGCCACCCCCAAAATGTTGCATTTTCTAGCTTCCAAAACTCTCGGATGCGAATCCAAATCAAAGTATTTAAGCAGGAATTTCTGTGTGTGTCCTCTTGCATTATTTAAAAGTTGCCTTAATGCCGTTTTATGTTTCGGCATGCCAGACCAAACTGGAGCAGGCCATCTGGGACAGAGGCCGAGAGGAACGGAGAAAGCCAGCTCTGGCGGGGAAAGTTTTTCTGGCCTACGCAAATGAGACCCAATTCCTTCCGAGCGAAGCCAAGGAGCAGGTCACCAGGAAAGAATTTAAACAAGAAAAGGTGAGGCATTAAAATCGTTCAAAGCAAGCCCGAGATCCTTAAAGACTTTGCTTAAAGCTGACCAGGTTCTATATTGTGGAAGACTTTATTTTAAATTCTTCTGAAAAAGAATCAACCTCCTTTTTCAAGGTTTTCTTTCCCAGTTCCTCCCCGAAGCCCCCGAACATAATCTAACACAGAAATGTTAAAATCCATTTTAATTTCTATTATGCAAATTTGCTCAAGTGCCATGTGTCGGGTCGTTTCGGACGTCGTCAGATTTTAGCCCACTCCAGAGGAGAAGTGGTCTGCCCCACACACACATACAAACACATGCAGAGCCACTCACACTCACACACATATGGGTCCTGGGCGAAAGTGGTTCAGTCTAGTCGGGTCCGCCTTGCTCCGAATGCATAATAACATTATTATGGTGGAGATGCGGTGAGTGTTTGGAAAACACAGAAAAAATAAAAGGAAATACAGTTGTGATTCAATAAACGGTTATTGAAGAATTTATAAAAATATTTTTATCATTTTAGATAGTATTTTTACTAGCTAGTAGTTCCTTAAATTGTCCAACAAGATTTTAGAGAGCTCTCACCCAACTCACTCTATTATTCCGTACAAGGAATACCTCCTGTAGGACCATATGCGGCAAACTTTTTGCTAAAATAATTTCTGGTCAAAAAATTTGAATGCAGAAATTTCATAGCTGCATCCTTTCATTCCTGACACGGCCAATTCAATTTGTGGAAATATGGCACAAAGGCGACCCACAAACAAGGCCAACTGGCCCCGAATATGGGCCAGGAGAGGCGCAATTTAAACGCTCGCCGAGTGTCACATGCCTGGGAGACGGGAGACAGGAGACTGGCGACGGGGCGGGAAGACTGGAGGACTCGAGAAAGGACATGGGAGACAGGACAGGAGACGAAGCTGGGACAGGAACCACATTGCTGACGACAAAGCAAAGTGGGTCAAAAGAAGCAAAAAATGCGAGGCATTTCTCGCGGGTGTCACACACACACACACATCCTCTGCAGCTCTCCCCTCATCCTTGCTGGCTCCTTCATGCTAAAAATACTCGCGCCCTTGTCATAGTCTTTAGCCCCCAACCTCCCTTACCCCCCACGACCCACCCTCTCGCCACAAAGGCCCAGCGGTGTCAGCGGCGGCGCTTTGACATTTTTGGAGCAATGTGCCCCACGGTGTGCCCCGCGAAGGATGCGGCACAGGGGGTGGGGTATCCGGGGGAGCCTATTCCGGGGGGCCAACTCGCACTGTCTCATTCGTTCACTCAGCTCGAGTGAAAGGCAAATCATGTGCGGCGAAACAGCAACAACAACAAATGTAACAAAACAACGGAATGGAAGTCAAGTCGAATAGTTAATGCTCTTTCTTTTGTTTTCAAATAAATACTTTCTCTTTAGGAAACTAATGTAGAAAATATAATTTTCTCAAAATATTTAATTTTAGGAATAATATAAGAGAGAAATATATCTTATTACATTTTCTAAGAATTTCTTTTATTATAAATTTTATACCAATATCTGTGCTATATTTTCATCAAAACCCGAATACTTTCTGAAGCCCTTCGGACAACCAATAAGCTCTTAAGGAACTGTTAGGGAATCGCAATGCAACAT